CATAAATATTGGTGTTGTCCAGAATGAAGGACATTACACAAACACCGCTAGAAGACTTTCAAGATGTTCCTGTCATTGTCGCAGATGGTGTGGAATATATTCTGCTGGTTGAACTTGTGGACTTTATGAAAAAGAGTGACGACAACAGGAACATCATCCATGAGGCGTTGCACGAAGTGACAGAGTTTGCACTGCAGGGTCAAGATCTGATAGAATTTGTGCCAGCAATAACAGAAGACAAAATCATATCTGGTAGACTGTTGTGGGGGGAGTTGTTATCAGCTGCTTTGGAGCGACTCGGTCTTGCAAGCTGCGATGTTGAGAGACAAAGAGAAAGAGAAGAAGGGTGGAAGGTGATGGCCACGGAAACAAATTTAGCAATCATTCCAGACAACGGACAGACATCAGCAGCACAAAAATCAATAACCAGTATGACAGTCGATGTGCCTCCCATGCAGTCAACAACAAGAGAGAAGCTAGTGTGTTGCGATATCTTCAATGCTTTCACAATGGAGAAAGAACAGTGTGATCGTGGATTTGAAGAGACCGATTTGGCAAGTTGTTGTGCAGAGTACACAGACAGTGCAGAAGAAGAAGATGAAGAAGAGGATGAGGGGGCATCATCTTCTGACGTGGAAGTGAGCGGCAGCGATGTCAGCAGCGACGAGGAAGACGAGGAACATGATGTATACTATGATTTGAAGGTTGTGGGTGAACAAGTGACAAAAGGGTGGGCACATGCAATTCTGAGGTTGGCACGTGCTTTTTCCGATCCGCACAAAGTGTTGCGTGTTGTGATGAAGGGAGCAACACCAGATGGTGCACTACAGTATGCCGCAGTGACCAGCATAATGAAATCATGCAACAAGGGGGAAAAGTGGTCACGTGTTGGCAAGGGATGGTTTGTTCTGGTCAATAGAGAGGTTGTGCTAGCAACGTCACTGACATGGGGAGTCAACCTGAGGTGCCTCATACACGGCGCAATGGCGACAGCTTGGGGAGAGACATTACACCCCGGCTTGTCAACAGCAGACACAATAGTTAGTGTTGGGCCACGGCAACGACCGGAGACACACCCACACACCACGACAGACCATGTTAGACATCAGGGATGATGACAGACATGCATCCCTCAACCTGTATATCCCTCTATGTCTGCCTCAATTTCAACGACGGTCGGGTTCACTACTGCGTGCCATATCAGTGTCCACCGGTGCTCTTTGTTGTCGTTTTGGCCCGCACTAGTGAACCTCCTCTCTCTCTCTCTCTCTCTCTCTCTCTATATATATATATATATATATATATATATATCTATATATATATATATATATATATATATAGATATATCTTTCTCTCTCTTTCTCATATGCCGAGTTGTAGCTATATTAGAACCTCTACATCCATCTGCGGGTTACATTTAATGCTGCCTGTTGTTTGCCTCTCCAAGAGAGAGAGAGCTCACTACAGCGTGCAGATACAGGATTAAACTATATTTCAATCATTTGATGATTGTTACGATGTATGTCATAATTTGTTGCCTTTTGGAGCACGTGAGACACATCAGACCCCCTGTGATGACCAATGTGTGTATGTTGTGTTTTTTTTTGCATTCTCTGTAATTTAAATTCAAATGTAGTAGGTTGTGAAATGTTTTGGAAGTTTGTGAGGAGGTCGGCTGAGGTGCCGAGGTGCAATCATTTTCACGCGGACATGGAAAACACATACCACATTCACAAACGTCGTGGATGGATAGTTACGAATTTGGCCAGCCGCAAAACCGTGGTGATGAATGTTGTGTCATATATCGTGTACCATGCGTAAGTCGTTGCCTCTTCGTGCACGACCATAGAACATGTCATGGCATATAAATTATCGTGACACAGACCATTCGTACCAAAAACGGCAATCAGTACTCCCTCTCTATCTCTTTCTCACAGAGAAGAGGATGTGCGACACTTACACAATATAACAAAATATGCTCTGCAACTTATGATTCTAACGACCTGAACAAATTTACAAAATGTTAATGAAAACATTGTCTGCACCGCTCTGTTTGTTTTTGGAATGCACTGCGTGCACAGAAAATGGACAGTGGTCCACGGGGGTGCGACTGTGGCAGGCCTTTCATGTCATTACAAACTTTGAACTCACATCGTGCGAGGGCATGCCCTGCCGTGGCGGACGAAAGAACACATGGCTAGGAGATGGGTGTGGTCGATGACGCCGGAGCATCAAGTATAGGTGCAGTGAATCTCGTGAGCGATGAGAGCGAGGAAGTCGGGGCTCCCGAGAATGTAGACGACGAGGGCGGAACATTCGAAGAGTAGCAACCGTAGCCTGTCGAATCTTTTGACAGTTCTCGCAAGCTGGCGGCACTGATTTTCTCTGCCAGAGGCGGCGTCGGTATGTCGCAGAGCGACATAGATGCTCTCTTGTCACTTCTCACGGACCCGAGATTCTGCACGAGAGACATTGCGTATTGTAATAGTCGAGAGTGTTTGACATGGGCAGAGAGTCTAGCAAACGCTGCTGGATGGAAAGAGTTGGATCTACGTTGTGACGATTGGTCACGGGATGCGCACGCCATCTTGTGGCACCGCGACTGGCGAACGATATTTCTGTCGATTTTTCATATCGCATTACAAAAATGTGAGACGGTGTCTTCTCTAGAAGTGTCTCCGCCGTCAGAGCACCTCAGTATATCCGGCCCACACAGCGGGGCGCTAAGTTATCACATCCAGTCGATCATTCGAGCGGACAAAGGCGTGGACGAGAATGGTAATCCATGTTATGTTATCCCTCTTTCATTGTATTCCGACAAGACACGTACAGATGGTCGTCAAAAACAGATGGCGTACCCTCTGATAATGTCACTAGCCAACCACGCATCCGAAGCCACACTGTTGGCCTATCTTCCTGTGCTTCATCATCGTCCGCGTGACAAAGGATGGGGTCTGCAGTCCACCGCATTCAGAAAGCGAAAGACCATCATTTTGCACAAGGCCCTTTCAGTGGTGTTGCAGTCTGCGAAGGAGGCATCTCATGACAGAATAATGATACCGACAACGTGATTCGGGGACATAACTGTCCACCCTTTCCTCCTCAACTATATCCAGGACTACCCAGAACGATGTGCGATTGCAACTGTGAAGTTTGGTGTATGTCCGACATGCACCATGTCCAGAAACGATTTTGATGTCATAGCTGATTTCACAGACTGCAGGAGATCACAGACGTTGGAAACACACCTCACAGCAAATGTGTTCACCGCCGACTACATTGACGTTCGCCGTGCAGCGAAAGCACGAATGTCGGAGTTCAACATGCATAGGCATGTTCAACATAACGACCTTTGGGGGTTCTACAGGGGCCCCAATGGTGACGATCCTCAGCTACACTACCACCAGGCATTGCAACCAGACCGTATGCACACAATCGAGCACGGCATATTCCTGCACATGATTGACGCATTCAAGACCGCAGCCTTTGAGAAGTTGCCGCACTTACCGCAAACAGAGATCCTGAAGGAACTAGATGCAAGGTTGCAAAGCGTTAGTGAGAGATGCACACGAACATACCCCCAACTTGTGTTGCCGGTGACCACTGGCAGCGACTTTTTTTCGAGGGAGGGACGGTTCGAGGCGAAGCAAAACCGGTCTGTGATGACAGTGTGTGTGTTCCTTATTTTTAATACTATACCGCCCTCGACAGGCAAGGGCATTACTGTTTGTTTTGTGAAACTGATGGAAATGTACATACGAGTGTTTCGGTGTACAACACACAGTCGTGCTTCGCTCGATGAATGCGACGCTTTGATCACGGACTTCGTAACAACCATCAAAGGAAAATTGGAAAAATATCAACCATCAACATGGAAACTCCCCAAGTTGCACGATCTCATGCGTCTGACAAAGTGTATTGAGCGATCCGGTGTCCCCGACACCTTCGCGGTAGATGTTTGGGAGCATCACCAAAGGAAATTCTGCAAACAGCCATACCTGTCATCAAACAAGCGGAAAGCTTCAACCGAGATGGTAAACCATGTGCGCCGGTCATTGGCGTTACGCAAAGAGATCGGGATCGTGAGGAAACGGAGGAAGAGAACGGTTGAGAACCGGTCGTCCGTGACAGACTGTATGGCCACCGGAATGAACACTCTCGCACTACGCGACACGGCAATGTTGCAACTGCGGTGGTTCGACATCGATGACGAGTACATACGCGAGGGAGAAGGCATTGACAACCATGCGTATAAGATACTCGAAGAGCTTCCTTGCAGACGTGATTTTCGAGCTGCGCTTACGACATACATGGTGGAGAATGGTTGTCAACCTCCTTCTGACGACCTGCTTATACACACACGGACACACTTGGCCATCGCTTGCGTACAGGACGGAACAAACAGGGGCACACTTGTTCAAACTGCAAGAGTGTCGCCACAGTTCCATGGGAGACCAGTGCACAGTGACGTCGCAATTAGAGCAGGCAACGAATGCACATGGTTTGCATCAGTAGCCATGTTTTTTATCGTGGACGCACCCGCGGACAGCGGTAATATGGAACACAACTGCGGATTTGTGCAATGGTACAAGGAGGTCGACAATGAACGGCAACACATGACAGGTTGAAAGAAATTGAAATGGAAGAAGTTGAATGGACATCAACACAGTAGCGTCGTTTCGACCGACACTATTATAGACATAGTTCATATTGTTCCGCGCTTCTCTAAACCACAATGGGGATCGAAGCAGCATGCAAGACAGCGTGAGGACTGCTTTTATTTGAACAAGTACATATTGTAGAAGAAACAAATGCAAACTAAGTTTCTATGTTTGTTAATAGAGAGAGAGAGAGAGAGAAAGAGAGAGAGAGAGAGAGAGAGAGAGAGAGAGAGAGAGAGAGAGAGAAAGAGAGAGAGTGTGTTTCCATCTGTCGTAGCCACGGGACAGTCATGTTGTTTCTTCCGAAGTATAGGGGAACAAGAGAGGACATTCGTCTCTTTCTTTCCGTTATTTGTTGAGAAATATCATGTCAAATGTGGCCAAGCTTATGAAGCGGTGAAAACCACATGCGAGACGAAAGTGTCCCCAAAAGTTCGCTACTGCGTGACATTTACGTGGTCAACAGTGATAGTCGTTTCAGTTTTGGCACGTAGTACCCAACCCCTCTCTCTCTCTCTCTCTCTCTCTCTCTCTCTCTCTCTCTCTCTCTCTCTGAAGTATCCTATAAAAACAATTTGAAGTTGTTAAAAAAATTAACAAATCGTCTGTGTCATTCCAATTTGACCGACACGTGTGAACAGGAACAAAAACTTACGACGTCGCGCAGCGTTCGGGAAGGAGCGACACAGAACACTGAACAACAAGGTGCAGGTAAGAGAAGTCGAGCGAGGATGACAGAGTCACAAAAAAGTAACACGTGTGGTGGCGGCGCGAAGTGCTCATACGTGGGTACGGAACCGGTCATCGGTCCAAGGATGAAAAATAAAGACGAACAGCACCGTGGAGAGGTGGCAAGCGAACCGTTGTTGCCATTGACCAGTGAGAGGTCAGCGTGGCAGAAAATGTTGACGGACCCTTGGTACTCGGAAATGTACAATATAATGACAGAGGGTGAAGCAAAGTTTCCCCAGTTGATAATCGAAGCACCAAGGGAAAAGCGAAAGTCTGGGACATGACGAGAACGAGAGAAGAGCAGACTGACATCAATGATGACTACGAATTGACCGTTGGCTTGACCGTTGAGGTCGTCAAAGGACGATGCGAGGAAAGTTCACTACTGCGGGCATTTGTTACATAAAAACCGGTGGCTTCACCAGTTGATTGGCCCGCAGTAGCCAACCTTCTCGCGGTGATGGTCGGGGACATGTTCGAAGTTTTTCTTTGCTCGCTATTTTTTTGTTATTGTGACTATGCGAACCCGTGTCGCCTGACAATACGAATACAGTCATTCTGACGCACAAAGAGGTTGGTAACTTAAATGACGTCGCAGTATCAACAATAAGACCTTGGTTGTGCCTCTCTCTCTCTCTCTCTCTCTCTCTCTCTCTCTCTCTCTCTCTCTCTCTCTCTCTCTCTCT